TCTGTGTTTCAGTTTGTGCCCACTGCCTCTTGTCCTGCCACTGGGCACCACTGAAAAGAGCCTGGTTCCATCTTATTTGCACCCTCCCTTCAGATATTTGTACCCTACCAGAAAGAATCCTTCTAAGCTACTGGTGCTGCTGTTAGAAGTCTCCCTACACCAAATCCTTACAGAAGCCTTTGAGATTTGCCAAAACTGCTAATATAGCATCTTCTTGCCTCATCCCTGGAAGTGTTCAAGGCCAGGTTGGACGGAGCTTTGAGCAACCTGATCTAGTGGAAGGTGTCCCTGCTCATGGTAGAGAGGTTGGAATTACATGATTCTTAGTCCCTTCCAACTCAAAACATTCCATAATTTTTCTGTGATAAACACTTCTATATAAGTTTCAAAAACTCCAGGTCCTGAACTATAGTTTTTCAAAATTGTGCTGGCTTAACAAAATAACCTTTCTGGGAAAATGTAACATCCTAAGAATAAATATTTAACAGATAAAATTGCAGTGATTTTCAGTTTGGCATAAACTGTTTCACTTTTGGTCATCTGCAGCACTTTCATCCTTTCTGCTTTGTCATGTAACTATGCCATGTGGATGCTCAGCAGTTACCTCTATTGTTTTATGAAAAAAAAAAATCACACCTGAATAGTAGCTGCTAACTGATAGTAAATTCATTATGTGCATCAGCTACAAAGTGCCAGAGGAGCATCCTGGCCCTGTGAATCATGATATACCATTCACTACTTAAGAATGACTAGCAGAGAGCTCAACGCTGGTGAAGTCCTTCAACTGTCTTCATCTAACTCATTCCTAGAATTAGGAATCAGGAGTTGAGAATGCACTAGCTGACTAGGCAGTTCACCAATACAGACCTAAACACAGAAGAAGCACTCAGATGTGTACACAGGCTGAAAGCACACAAAGGGATCAGATCGTGCCAGGCTGCAGTTTCACTGGGAAATGAAGGTCCTCAGACCAATCCAGGACTGCACCTCCTTGCTGTACGTATTTACTCTATGGTACCAAATGTACAAATTAGAAATATATAGGAAAAAGGCCAAGATTGGTGCCTTTGCCTCAGCTCTCACAAAATCAACGGTGGGTGACCTATCAGCCAGTGTTTGTGACTGACAAAAACACGCCTCCCACTTTTGAGAAACTCCTTTGTACAGTTAGGTGTCAAAGAAGAGTACTATACAAATGCAATGGTTGCTTCATGCTACCAGCTGCAGGAACAAAATCTCTAAGTGAGGCCTACACTCAGAATTTATTATTTATATATTTATATTTATTTCTGTTATATATTTTATTTCTACATTGCATTTCAGGTTGTCCAAAAGGCAGTAATTGAAGTGGATGAAGAAGGAACTGCGGCCACAGCAGCTAGCGGGTCAGAAATAACTGCATTCACTGTGCCTCCTCTCATCAAAGTGGATCGACCATTCCTTTTTATGATTTTTGAAGACACTTTTAAAACATTACTCTTCATTGGCAGGGTGGTTGATCCATCAGAAATGTGAATAAAGGTAACAGTTTCTATTCTGGGGTATGTAAGAGGCTTTATTTCTATTTTATTAATTTACATTAGAATAAAAAGACAGTGAAATATGAAGATGTGAAAGCCTGTAGGTCATCTTACTAATATTTTATTAATGCCCAAGTAACGAGCTAAATTCACTAAGGCACAAAGTGACAAAAATGTGTCTTGTAAAACCTCCCATGCAAATTAAAAAAAATCTCACAGAACTGAACTTTTGAAATCCAACATTTTAGTGATAAGTCTGAATGAAAACCAGAAATTCATATACCAAAATATTCAAGAAGCTCATTCCCAGACACTGCTTGATATTCCTCAATGTTATCTTTTGTTGTGATGTTGCCTACTGACCTCCATGTTAGAAGAATTTTGCCACTTATAAAAACAGAAGCAGGCTCAAGCTCTTAAAGAGAATTTACAGCCTCTGCCTAGAGATCTTTATTTTATTACTGTAAAAATTGTGCTGAGTCTATCATGAAGTCTGCATCATCTGGGAGTGTGACCTCTTTCAAAGTGTTTATTCAGAGTATCAAATGACCTCATTTTCTCATGGTACATGATGTGCCTGCTTTTAAAATAGTCTATTAAAGACAAAATAATTATGAAAAATAACTTAGGAATTTTGAACCTGGAAAATCTGAATCTGTACTACTTCGCAACACCAAGCTGGGTCTCTCCTAAAACCAGAATTTCTGCTTGTATTATCATCTAGACATCAGAGTGAACTACATAACAGGACTCTATGCCTGAACTGACAGACTTTGTTAGGAAAAAAAACATACCTCCATAAAAGTGCAATGAATCTATTCACAGAGCTGATCCTAAAATCCAAAAGGTGTTGCCAAAATGCTTCCGAAAAATACTTCCATGATCTAAATATAATTCATTTCATTCAAGTAGTGGAGTGATTCCAACAGAACAGCAAGATCTTTAACAATCAGTAAATTTTAATCGCAGTAAAGTCCTACCTATAAAGTAAGAAACAACGGGAAAAGCTACTTATAGCTTTATATACTTCTAGGATACAACTGACAGATCTCAGCATCACTCTACTTGCTCATACAGCCTCCACAAAACAGCTGCCCAAAAGGGGGCAGAAGAGTTCCCAAAATCATTTGGCATAGAGGCTTCAAAGGGGTCTGGTAAACACCTGTAAAAATCACCTCAGTTACCATTAGATGTCTACCCACAGCAGCCCAGACACTGGTGCAAGCCACTCACAAAAGCATTTAGCAGGCAGACTCTGGTATCTGACTAGACTATGATGGTGCATCTAACCTAACACCACATTGCAGTGTGAATGTACCCAGAAAGAAAAAGAATAACTTCTTCCTGTCTCCGAAAGATTAATAGGATGAATGTTCGTATAGAGAACCACTCAATTATTACCATACAGTTGACCCTCAGATGTTACTCTGATTTGCAGGTAAAAACAGTGCTATGAAGGGTTCAAAAGTATTGGTGCTGTCCAACAGAAGTAACTCAGAAGTAAGCAGCCCCACAAAAGATTGCTGAAATAGAAGTCTGTAGTGTGAAGGACTGACGAAAGTATACACGGGACACCTGGTGTGTTGTACAAGGAAGATGTGCAGACAAAAAAATGTCTAAATAGAGCATTTAAAGATTACATAGGTGGAATTTAATACATAGTAGGGTTATTGAGTGGAGCATGTGTTACCAGCATTAAATAATCAGTTAAAAATGACAGACAATGACAGCTAATAAGAAACAAATGACAGACTGTATACAGAACTCATTACATGCTTATTAAGGGGAGAAATAGCTTGGATTCAAGTTTCTGAACTTACTGGCTGTTCTGCATTGCTATAGTAAAGGCATCTGAGGGTTAAACACAGTTTTGAGTCCTGTTCTGCAGCTGGGATCTGAGTTTGGTCCCTGGCAGAAGTCAGACTGAGAACAGATTGAGCAGTCGCAGCAGCTGGCACATTGGGTTAGTCATCCCTGGGGAACTGGGAGTATCTGTTGTCATTAAAGAGACTAAAGCCAAACCTAGGAGGAGCCACTATAGGTCATCTGTATATCTGTATCAATACTTCATGTTAAACATCATCACACTTGAAGAAGCTTTTAAAGAAATCTGTGATTTACAAGATCTTATGCCAGGCTGCAGAACGAACTGAAAACAAGTGTTTCCACAGAATCCAGACAATGTCTGTGACTAAAGACAGAGAATACACCTAAATCCAACTGTAGTGTAAGAAGCTTAAGAATTCAGATAGTAAAACACTGATAAATCCAAAGACATATTTTGTACTTCACACAAGACAGCATACATCTAGCATTATTACTATTTAAAATAAATAACTTCTATAGGTAAATGCTTTTATTTATTTTAATTATAAAAGATGCCCTGAGAAATTTTTTTCGAGAACATGCATGTACAGCATTGTCCTAGGTTTTATTTTGAGTAAATCATCATTCATAATTTACATTATAAAAAGTAACCACACACGCATATGCATTCGCGAATCAGATCATCTTTATCATACACCAATAGATTAAAAAAACCACATATTTCTGATACCAATATATTTATGCTGCTTCCATCTTGAAATAGAGAAGCTGACAATAGCTTCATAGGCTCTCTCGAGTATTGGCATAAATAGAACTTTTTAAAATAGAATTATATGTTTTTCCACAGACAAATTTTGATAGAAACATTAGCGTTAATACAAACAGATGCAGATGACATCACTGAAGCATGATAGCTTGCAATAGCAGCTGATTAAAAAGTAGATTCACCATTATAAATTATTCAAGTGAAAATACAATCTGAAATACTAAAAATTAAAACAAGTATTTATGCAACAAAACTTATGAAATAAACCTCATATCATCTGGAGACATATGCTTTTAGATTGCTTTGAAATTTACATAGGATTTTTATGAATTTTACTTAGTACTCATAAAAACGTTACTTCCAAATTCACAGCACAATGCTACTGAAGTTCATGTTTTTTATAGACTGATCAATGGTTCTGGACTTTGGTCTTAAATTAGGTTTGAAGGTTCTTTAAAATGTAGGATTACTTTTTCATATTCATAACAATTCCTTCTATTTCTTACATAAAACAGGGGTGCTAATAATTGCTAAAATTGTAAATAAGCCAATTAAGTAATGGACATGTGCATTCTAAATCCAAGAATTTGAACTACAAAGACATAGCTGAAGAAAGCAAAATCCTCCCTTTAGCTGCAGCAAAGAGCACATAGCTGAAGTTGTATTTCATAACATTTCACTACAATGTTTTAATTCTGCAACCATTACATTACTTATCGGAACATATTTTACAGCTTGGGATTTTATTTAAAAGATAAAAGATTTTTAACATTGCAAGATGCATTATTCATTCCAGGCATTAGAGAGTCCCATCTGCTGCTGCCACCTTACCACACCAGAAAGTTGCCTTCACCACCTCTGGTTCCCTTCTTTCTCAGTCCGAAGATCTAAGAGTTTGATTTTCTGTTTTTTCTTCATACAAAAGAAGAAACACACATAATATGTTGTTGCTATGTTATGAAATAACATAACACGATAAACTGCTATTGCATACAATGTTTTAATATAATTCTTAGTTGCTTTACTTCAAAACATTTCTACCTGCTTAATGCACCCACTGAAAATGCCAAATGGACACATTCTGAGGGGTATTCTTCACAAGAAGGGTGTATTTCTCCTTTAAGTTTTCTACAGAAGGTCATGTCGAGTTCTCTCTAAGTAAGATAGTTAAGGTAGTACAAGCAGTCTACTAATGGCTACAAATAATGCCATGATAAAATCTGGGGAAAGTGAAGACAGGGAAGAGAGAAACTTAAAGCTCTTTAGAGTTATATTTCTAGGTCTTCTGTTGACATTTGGGCAATTTTTGCATTTTTCACAGCTTTAATTTTTTAATCTTCAAATATACTGTTCTGCAACTTCACTGAGTTCTAACTATGTCAATTAACAACTGTTTGTAATGCTCAGAAATATTTCAAAGAACAGGGCTTAACTTTTAGAACTCTGTGGAAACATTAATTTGCATCAATATTTTACACTGTCTTTTATAAACAATGCAAGATACAGTTCTGTTTCACCCTTTTAAAATTGCTGATGGAACCTATCATGATAATACATGAGTGTCAGGATACCTACTAGCTTCATCTCAGAAATGGGACTTAAATAATATGCCAGTCCCACTGGACCTTAGAACTCTTACCGTCTTAAACGGCCCGATGAAAACATGACTAGAACCCGTAAGTAACCAACTCAAAGTGCAGTAGGTCAGCAGCAGAGCTACTTCACATTGTGCTCAACTTCCTAGACAATTATATGACTGGATGAAAGACGCTACTTTAAGATACCTACGCATATAATTGCTACAACATGGTCACACAGCAATATGGATGTCAAAGGTCAGTTGTGGATATCTCGTAATAAAATATTGGTATCAATTTCTCATTAAGAAATTGATTTCTATGCAACAATAAATCGACTCCCACTTTTTACAAGACAGAAAGCCTGTACCCCCCATTCTTGAAGTAAGTTTTAACTGAAAATGAAATAAAATCAGCCACTATCTGTGTCTATAGGCCTGTCCTAAAAGAAAATATTTTAACCTCATAAAAATGAAAACATTTAAAAGAAGATAATAAAACTACATAATATAATACTACAAGATTGGACTACTTGATGGAACACAGTGTTTTTGAATTGCCAATTTCTGCACTAGGGTGATTCATGATCTAACTGATAACACTTCAACAGAAAGCCAGAAAAGCACATTTGCTCTACAAATTCAGTGAAGTTCTTGTGGGATGAAATACTCAATCAGTGCCCTTTATGATTATTTCCTATTCCATAACATGTTTAAAATCAGGTACTCATCTCTTTTGTGATTCCACCATTAAGTTATACTGGTGCATCTTCAGCATAATTCTTGCATTTTCTATTGACTATTACCTAAGGTCTAGCAAATCAAACTGGAGCTAATGGTTATTTTCTTGTCACCTGCTTGTGAGCACTGGATGAGGATTTACTGAGATTTTCTTTTTCTTGGATCTACATTATTTTTAAAAAGAGGGAATATTTTAATTGGCACACACATCTCTGAAATGGGACAAACAAAATGTTTGAATTCATGAGTACGGTAAGTAAAGACCTCAGTTCAGCAACAAAGTAACTTTGATTTTTAAAAGTTCCTGGAACAACAGGAATATATGAAATCAGGAATTCTTCACCCCTGCCAACTGCACTATATTGTCAAAAGTGAACATTTGACAAAATTCTGTAGAGCAGTTTTATGGACAAGATTACGCTTAAGCAATTAGATAACATTTTGTCCAAACATACATCACTTGGAACTAAGAATTATTAATTATATCTGTTGATATTTTAATTATTAAACAACATATTACTGCCCGATCTTCCATTCTTCACAAGCACACATAATTACTTAGAAAAAGAAACATATTAGAATTTACCTTACTCATGTTGTAGAGCCAATAGACTAAAAGCTAGGACTTGCCAGAATTAAGACTGTCAGTGCCATGTTTAAGCAGCAATATACAAATTTACATGATGATATAGTCTAAATATATACTCAATTATTTTCTCACAAGTTTCCTGTCTTAGTGAATGCATAGATGGTGACACTCATTCACGAGCATCTGTTCAATTGTCAGTCTCATTGTACAATTTTCAAATTCTTCTCTCAATAAGAGTAATTTCCGCCAACCGTTTATCTATTTGGATATTAAATTTTTCCATAATTCAAGTCAGAAAATAACGTTTCCTTGAAACTGACTTTTTTTTTGTATTTTAGTATGTACGTATTTAGCACCAGTACTGACTTTCTGAACAAAAGAACGATAAAAGAGGTACACCTAAACATATCTGTGATCAACAAGGTTATGCAGATAAATGCATTTACCACTAATCGTTCCTCTAGCTGTGTTTCTTAATACGTCCTTATAGAGCTGCTCCATTTTTTTTTATGAAAAATGTTAAGTATTGGGCTAGATTACAACAGAGAAAATGAATCTACAGTGCAGCAGATATACCAACGTCAGAGATGTTTTCCCATAAGAACACAGAACATTAAAACTCTTATTCAGAGCTAAATGTAGGTCATCTTAAGCCTGCTCTCTTTCTCCAAAAATTATTTTCTTCCCCTAGTATATCCTGTTGGTTTCTGACGCTAGGCAGTTTAGGGACTTTCTGAACCAGGGAGAGCATCCAGATCATTATGTTTGATCAGATACCTACTTTATAGTCTGCTGTTAAGGTATTCACTTGAGGACAGTACACTGAGAATTAAGGCTGAGTCTCTTACATTCCACTTTCCTGCCTGAAGACAAAGGTACAAACCGCTCTGTGAGAGTCTTTTTCTGTCCCTTTGTATTCAAACAAAAGATACCAGTTTTATTTTAAGTGACAGATAGAAAAACCTTTGAAATTTAGAAAAGTTTTACATGATGTGAAGTCTAACTAATCTCTGCATCTAACTTCTTCGCGAATATTAACCCATTTATTTTCCCCAAATCCTTGTGAGATAGATGAATAATTGGAATTTCTACAATGGTTGCTAAAAAAAAAATTACAACATTTGAACTAATTTCCTGGTTTTAAAGAGATGGAGAAGAGATATACAGTGATTAGGGTGAAAGAAAACGCATTTTTGAGCACACCTAATTTTTGAAAGTATGTAGCGCTGTTTGTCATTTTATGTACTCGAGATACACGTTCCATTTACTTTATAGATAGCTGAAAATGTCACCATGTCTAGTAATCTAACTGCTGAGTTTGAAATCACACACTTTGAAATAAGTGACCACCTAATGATTACCTATAAAAAGTCTGAAGTAATTACTGTGGTTAATATTTAAGAGAAGGCATTAGACTCTGGCAAAGACAGGGACAGAGTGCAATTTGAACTGGCACCTTAAGGCACTTCTGTTGTGAAACCACCGACTCAACACAAACAGTCCACCTTCATTCATTACTTACCTTCCAACCTTTCCTACAAGCAAAATGCAGTTTTAAAAACAGTAAGTCACTGCAAGCTTGATTTCATTTCATAACAAATTTATCTTATACAGTGAAGGTGGTAAAATTCCAGCAGAAAAAAATCTTATGTGATCACACAGCAAGAGACTGTATCATAATATAACGTATACATGTAGCTGAATGCAAGCTGTTCAGAAAACTTCTCTTTACATTCATTAAGCTTTTGAGTGTTTTATTTTACAATTTAGGAATTTTATTAACTTATAGCTGTGAGTAAAGTTGGGGAGGATTGTTTTGCTTTGTTTTTTAAAGGAACCTGAAAACACCGAAGTGGAAAAATGTATGAGTTCATACAGATACTTAATTTGCCAGAAAGGACAACTCAAGACATACCACTATCACTACGGTTTCCTCTTCATACCTGGCAAACCAGTGTAAGGTGTTTCCTCTTTCCTATCTGGTGCAGTCTCTATATCTCAGCTCCATTATCTTTGACCAGCAAGTCATAGCCTCACATTCTGGATTGTCCTTTCATTCTTGGTCTCCCATACCTATCCAGACTTCCAAGCCCCAACTCGCATTTTCACCATATTTTTCAGCTTCTAGTTCTAGTTTCTATTACACGTAAGTCCACTTTTCCAACCAACCTCCCTTTTTTGCTATAGCTGACTCCTTTCCCACCTCCATTCTGCCTTGGCTAAGAAAGTAAATCTCTGATAGCAAAGAAAACTCTCAGTCTGAGCACCCAAAATTACAGCTAGTCCAATGATAGTAATTTAAAACTACAAGTTATAGTGTAAACAGCATCTGCAGGGAACTAGCTGCTAAAGCCTACAGATTTGACTAAGTACATATCACAGTCATTTTCTAAGACTTACACTTTTATCATAAGAACAAAGAAATCAATTTTTGATTTTGTTTTGCAAAATGTTGAACAGTTTAGGCTGTTTAAAGAAAACCAGCCTGAGGGAGATGCCTAGCATTGAATTTTTTTTTACCTAAATGTTTAAGGTAAGGCAAAGGCAGCTTTAATAACAAGTAGCAGCACCAGTTCATTATAACTCTCAAAATTCATCATGAAATTATTACATAATAATACATAAACATATATAAGTACATAAAAAGAAGGAAAACTAAAAATTAAATCATCTAACAATACATATATTCTACTTCTCCAACTATAAGGAGCTACATCACTGTGACTAGTTACCGTATATCAAATGCACTAACATTCACTGTGTCTCATTCCACCCTCCCCGTAATGTAACAGCTGAATGCAAAGGTGCAGTAGAAACAATGTGAAAGAGTAATTAAAGGGAACGCAATCTTAAAAACACTTGTAATTGCACACATTACATTTCTACCCTGCTATTTTAGTATTTCAAAATCTGGGTGCAGAAGTATCATAAATATAGGCTTAATTTTACCTGACTCTTTTGAGTTCCCTTTGAAAATGTTACCCATAAGCTTGATTTAACCTCTTATAAACCACTTACATGCTCATCTTTCGGGACTGACTCTCCTTATTTCCATTGTTCTTTTGGTCAGCTGAGTTAAATAAGTTGCGAGAAGAACTGGAAGGGAAGGCAGCATTCCCACTATTACCAGCAGAATGAGTCCGGAATGAATCATCTGAAATAAAGAATTGCAGTTTAGACAAAGAATTTTGTCTAAAATAAAAATACACAGAAAGTAAACAGAATGAGCTGGTTTTCCTGTGGCAATAGTGGCATATTTTCATGGCAATAATCTAATAGTTTAACTTTCTATAAGGGATTGGTTTCAACTTAACATTTCTTCAACTATTTTATTGAAAAAATGCTAAATAAAAACAATTAGAAGACAAATTTTGGAAGACAAGATTAATATATTTAATATATGAAAATAGTGGGATTTAATTCGCCAATTGGAACAAGTCAAGAGGAGGGCCACAAAAATGATCCAAGAGCTGGAGCACCTCTCCTATGAAGACAGGCTGAGAGAGTTGGGGTTGTTCAACCTGGAGAAGAGAAGACTCCGAGAAGACCTTCTAGCAGCCTTCCAGTACCTAAAGGGGCTTACAAGAAAACTGAAGAGGGACTTTTTACAAGGGCATGTAGTGATAGGACAAGGGACAATGGATTTAAACTGAAAGAGGGTAGTTTTCAATTAGATATAAGGAAGAAATTCTTCCCTCTGAGGGTGGTGAGGCACTGGAACAGGTTGCCTAGAGAAATTGTGCATGTCCCATCCCTGGAAGTGCTCAAGGCCAGGTTGGGTGAGGCTTTGAGCAACCTGATGTAGTGGAAGGTGTCCCTGTGCGTGGCAGGGGGTTCGAACTAGATGATCTTTAAGGTCTCTTCCAACCCAAACCATTCTATGATTCTATGAATCTTTAGCTGCTTAGAATGTAGTTATTTCATCTAAGCTAATTGTCTAGCATCTATTGGTAGTGAATGGAAAATGATGGGCTCCTCTAAGAAGCAATTTGTCTTATTCTAATCTTTAATCATCCAAACTCTTTAATAGCAAATGGAGAGAGGTGCACTTGCAGACAGCAGTTTCTCTCCCCTAATTTAGTAGCAGTTATACATAATATCCTTTTCCTCATGTAAAATCTATGGAAGCAAATTGCAAAACCAACCTTTTCATGATATCCAAAACGTCAATCGAGAAATGCCAAACTCATTTTACTATTACTACTTTTAAATGTAACTTTAAACAAATGTGTAACAAAAAACCCCCACAAACTAACTAGACTAGCACTTAAGTGCTCAAATATAGTTGGTATCTATTATTGAGGAGAATATCTTACAGTATGCCTGTTTAATAAGGCCCACATGTTCAGCACCCCCGCAAAAAAATAATGTAAAATATAATAT